AAGACTTCTGTCAACCTTTTTAAAAGAAAAAGGTAAGCGATTCAGCCGGGAAAAGAGAGTTTTTTGGGGGAAGAGCAGAAAAACTGCAATTCAGGACAAGCAAACTATGGCCAACCACAGGCAAGTCCTGGCAACAAAGTGGAGGAGAGAGGTCCTTCTACAGAGGTAAGGAGAAAGTTTGAAGGGATTTGTTTTGTTTTTTAAGATTTTATTTATTTGAGAGAGAGAGAGAGAGCACGCGCGCACGCACAGGCGCGAGCGCACACAAGCCGGGGGGAGGGGCAGAAGGAGAGGGAGGAACAGCCTCCCCGCTGAGTGCAGAGCCCAACACAGGGCTCAATCCTGAGACCCCAGATCATGACCTGAGCCAAAGTCAGTTGACTGAGCCACCCAGGCACCCAGTTGGGAGGTATGTTTTGAACAAAAGTTCATTGGAGGAAAATGAGAGTTTGAAGTGGTGGCAGCCTCTTTCATTGGCTGCAGGTGAGGGCAGCTTGCTGTTGCTGGGCTGAGAGAAAATCTTCCCTCCTGCTGGAGGGAGCAAGCCAGGAGGAGTGGTAGTAAGATGTGAAAGCCTTCCCTTCATGTTTTCCCAGCTCCAATTTTGAGTTAAATTTCCTCAATACATTTCCACTCTTCCAACAACGATTAGGGGTTGAGAAACCATATATGGAAGTCCAGTTAATTTCAGTAGGTATAATTAAGATAATTGAATCCCTCAAGTCAGAGAAGCCTATAAAGAATTGCATGGCTTGAACTGAGGAAGGTTTGCAGTGCATTGAAGTTGTTGGACCACTAGTCCATTAGGAAACTGGAAAAGCAATTCATTTAACATAGATGTGAGCATATACAGTAATCCTGCAGTGATTTGATTATATACTTACTTGGAATTATATGATTGCTTCTATGAAGAATTAATTCAGAGTTCTCTCTGGCATTGACATTGTGCCCCTGATATACTTTGAGCTTTCGAAAATACGTATTTTATTTGAACTTGAAGTTTTAGTTGGGAGAATAATGAAATCCTATTTATTTTATCACACAAAACATTTCTAGGGGGCAGACTAACTTTTTTCAATGAAACTGATTATTTTTGTTACAAAACAAAATGTTTAAGCATGTGTAAAAGTATAAAAGGGACTTCACTAATGTAACTGAAGAGTACCACATTGTACATTGTCTCCCAGAGTTGCAAAACAAAAACAAAAAAACCTAACCTTATATATTTTGGAGAAGTGTGCATTCTGCACTAATTCTTAAGGATGGAATAGGTTTAAATTGTTCCTAGTTATATCAAAGAATGTTCTTTTAAAAAAAAAAAAAGATTTATTTATTTGAGAGAGAGAGAGCACAAGCTGGGGGAGAAAAAGATGGAGAAGCGGATGCCCCGCTGAGCAGGGAGCCCAATGCAGGGCTTGATCCCAGGACCCTGAGATCATGTCCTGAGCTGAAAGCAGACACTTAACCAACTGAGCCACCCAGGCACCCCTCAAAGAATATTCTTAATTATTTTTAAAATCCAATCATAAATTCAGATTCACTTAAATACTCCCAAAATAGCAAGGGAAAAAAATGAGTTTGTTACTTCAGGGTATCATCATTCTGAGATGGACCAAGGTTACTGATATGTGATCAATCTTATGAAATCAAACTCTTTTATGTTTGTTCCTATATAGGAATAGTCAATAAATGGAGAAAGAAGGTCACGATTTCCCCAGAAAACTTTTAAATTCAGATGAAGGCAAAGAATACATAAAACAATTATGTATGAGGCGCCTGGGTGGTTCAGTCGTTAAGCGTCTGCCTTCAGCTCAGATCATGATCCCAGGATCCTGGGATGGAGCCCCGCATCAGGCTCCCTGCTCCGCGGGAAGCCTGCTTCTCCCTCTCCCACTCCCCCTGCTTGTGTTCCCTCTCTCGCTGTGTCTCTCTCTGTCAAATAAATAAATAAAATCTTAAATAAAACAATTATGTATTTCTATCTTCTTCTCATTTTTTTACTTATTTATTCTTAAAGATTTTATTTATTTATTTGACAGAGAGAGAGCATAAGCAAGGGCAGCAGCAGAGGGAGAGGGAGAAGCAGGCTCCCCACTGAGCAAGGAGCCTGGCATAGGGCTCGATCCCAGAACTCTCAAATGACTGAGCCACCGAGGTGCCCCATCTTTCTCATTTTTTTAAAGATTTTATTTCTTTATTTTAGAGACAGAGCAAGCAAGCATGGGGAGGAGCAGAGAGAGGAACAAGCAGTCATTGCACTGAGCACAGAGCCCGATGCAGGGCTTGATCCCCAGACCTTGAGATCGTGACCTGAGCCAAAACCAAAAGTTGTATGCTTAACTGACTGAGCCACCCAGGCACCCCTCTTATTTATTTATTTATTTGAAAGAGATAGCATATGCACATGCACTCCCGGGGTGAGGGGTGGGTTGGGAAAGGGGAGAGGGAGAGAGAATCTCAAGCAGACTACTCGTGGAGTGCAGAGCCCTATATGGGACTTGATCTCACCACCTGAGATCACAACCTGAGCCGAAACCAACAGTCAGACACTCAACTGACTTCGCCACCCAGGTGCCCCATAACTCCTTCTCATTTTAATCTGAGGTCTGTATATATCTTTGGGTAAGATTGTGAACCCAATCCTCCCCCCAACATACACATCCAAAATGAGATCTCCCAAAAAAGAAATAAAAGAGCTGAAAGAACTACCTACATACAAAATACTTGCCCTGCTCCATAACCAAAGTGTTCCCTTTAGCAATGTGTTCACTTGAGTTCAATGGAGAGTTAAATTTCCCTATAACCTTCATTTCCAAAACAAGCTATATCAATACTAAACAAGATAGTACAGTCTCAAAAAATGAGCAAAGGACCTGGATATTTCTCCATAGAAAATATGCAAATGGCCAATAAGCATATGAAGAGATGCTTCAAATCATTAGTCATAGGGAAACACAAATCAAAAGCACAATGAGACACTGCAAAACACCCTCCAAAATGGCTATTATTCTTTTAAAAAAAGGAAAACAACAAGTGGAAAAATTGCCATGGTGCATTGCTGATGGGACTATAAATGGTGCAGATGCTGTGGAAAACAGTTTGGTGTTCCTCAAAATGTTAAACAGAATTACCTTTTGACCCATTCCACTCTAAGGTGTATACCCAAAAGAATTAAAAAAAAAAAAATCAGTACTTGTGTACTAATATTCAGAGCAACATTATTCACAATAGTGAAAAAGTGAAAACATCCCAAGTGTCCATCAACAGACAAATGGATGAACAAAATGTGGTTTACATGTACAGTGGAATATGATTCAGCCAAGAAAAGGAATGAAGTTCTGACACATGCAAAAATATTGATGAACCATGACATTGCTAATGAATAAGACAGTCACAGAGGGACAAATATTTTATGATTCCACTTATGTGAGGTACCTAGAATAGGCAAAATCTAGTGACAGAAATTAGTATTGAGGTTATCAGTGGATGGGGGAGAGGAAATAGGGAGTTATTGTTTATTGAGTACAGAGTTTCTGTTTGAGATAATGAAAATTATCTGGAAATGTATAGCCGTGATGGTTGCACAACATTATGAATGTACTTAACCCCACTGAATTGTACACTTGAAAATGACTAAAATGGTAAATTTTATGTATATCTTATTACAACAAAAAAGATACATAAGAGGATTCATACTTTTTCAAACTTCTCTGGGGTACAGTAGGGGAGGGAAGAGGGTACAGAACTCCTTCCAGCAAGGGGAGAATGAGCTCCACCTCAGCAACTTTAAGGGTGAAGTAGGGAAAGAAATGTAATTGGTACAGCCACCTCACCTGGTCAGCCTTCTCAAATCAAAGCTGGGTAGACGTCCAAATTCACTCCCGGGACAGTATGGGCCAATAAAACTTGTCCCCCTATACTATCTCCATTTGCTTTTGAATTAAAAGAACATCTTCCACTTTACTGAGAGCTTCTCAAGTTTTAAACATTTTCTCAAGATGCTAAACATAAACACCTTAAAGGCGTTTGCAGCGTTTATGATTCTCATCTTCAATATTTCAATGCCCACATTTAGCATTTCTCTGAGACTATCCTAACTCCAAATGGGACTGCCCACGTAAATGGCTTGTCTGATGCAGGTCAGCGTGAACTTTGTTCAAGAGTTACATTAACACCAAAACGCCTTCACCCTCGTTGTGGCCTAGGGCCTAGAACAGAGCGCGGCTCTCCCTCGGAAGGGGTGGGGGGGTCTCAACAACACACCCAATTCCATAACGGGTTCCTCGCTTTCCGTAAATAAGCACGTCTATTATTCTCTTGGCCCCTCCAAAGGATTCTGGGAGTTAGGGGAGGGACCAAGGGACAAAAATGAAATGCACAAGGCGCGCAGCGTTAGGTTTAGGATTAACAGCCAGTTGCTGAGCGACTTCTCATATCTTCCGACCACTTCCATCACTTCTCCTATCCGGTAGGCCCGCGCTCCTTCCCCACCTCCCACGCCCCGCCCCTCTGCTGCCCTATTAGGCAATCATCGGGCGGCTGCTTGCCAGTCAGGGCCAATCCCGAACAGGCTTACTTTGAGCGGGAAAGGCTCAGAGGCTACGGAGGAGCGAGGACAGCTAACGGCTCCTTTCTGGCCTTGTCTCTGGGGGTAACAGGCACTGGAGGAGGTTGCCTATTGGTTGGGCAGCGGGCCAACGAGGAGGTGCGAAGCGGGGGGCGGTCCTCAAACGAGGGGGTGGGGTGGGGGGCGGGGCAGGCCGGTGGGGCGGGTAGCGTGCCGGGTCGCGAGCCAGGGGTGGGCAATGTAACGGCCTCTCCCCCCGCCCCTCCCTCCCCGCTCCGGCCCCCCCCCTACAGACCAGCTCCAGGCAGCGCCCGGGGCGGCTGCGGCGGCGGCGGCAGCGGCGGGGTGCGGGCTGAGGGAGCCGGGCCTCGACGCCCCCCTCACCCCCGTGCCCCAGGAGCTGTACCTAGTCCAGGAGGGGCTGGGGGGCCCCATGGAGGTGAGAGGCGGAGACACTTGCCCGGGCCCTCGCCCCCCAGGCCTGAGGGAGGGACTTGAGGTAACCGGTGGGGACGGTCAGCGTCTGGGAGGCGGCCGGGCTCGGAGGATGGCGACGGTGAGGAGCAGCAGAGGAGCGGGCGCGTCCCCAGACGCGGTTCTCTGAGGAGACCGCGGCCGTGCGGGAGAGGGCAGGTCTCCGGGGAGAAGCCCCGACGGGGCACCCGGGCCGCGGGGCGGGGGCGGGCGGGGGGCGCGGCGGCCGGCGGGCCCGGGCTCTGGGGGCCTCGGCGCGGGCTGGCAGGACGGACCGGCGGGGCTGCAGGGGCTGCAGTGGCCGCGACGCCCGGCCTGCCGTCGCCTCCTCCACGTCGGGCGGTCGCGGCGCTGAGGCCCGACAGGGTGGCCGCGGGCGTGGGGGGGCCTGTCAGGGCCGTCGAGGGCCGCGCCTTGGGGTCGGCCGGCAGCTGGCGGGAAGGCAGAGAGGGAATCCTCGGGACAGAAGCGCGGGCCCCGGGATCGGTGTCCTCGGAGTGGATTCCGAGTTGAGGTGCGCGAACAGTGGCGGCGCAACAGCCGTCCGCCGTTCCAGCCGTGGCTTTGCACTGCGTGATGCCTCTCCCGCTTCCTACCCCTGTCTTGTGCAGCCCAAGGTAGCGTTCCGTGGAGGTGCGAATCGCTGCTGGAACCTCGGTGCGGACCCCAGCAGTAGACTAACGGATGTGTTCAACAGCGTGATGCTGACTGGCTCCACTTCCTTCTATGATTGCTACAGATCGCAGGTCCATCCTTTGTTAGAGGATTTTTTTTGAAATCAAAGTCGTTTACCTGGGCCCATGCACTTAGGTGTTTAAATTTCTCCAAGTTTACGGCGCCTGGGTGGCTCAGTCGCTTAAGCGACTGCCTTCAGCTCAGGTCATGATCCCAGTGTCCTGGGGTCGAGCCCCACGTCAGGCTCCCTGCTCAGCTGAGAGCCTGCTTCTCCCTCTCCCTGCTGCTGTGCCTGCTTGTGCTCTCTCTATGTCAACTAAATAAATAAAATCTTTAAAAAAAAAATAAATTTCTCCAAGTTTAGGACCAAAAAGCCAGTAACATTTTCTTTCTCTCTTTGTTCCCTTTCTTCCTTTTCTTTCTCTCAGCCGGTAACATTTTCAGTAGAGTCTGCACAATACATATTTTGCTTTGAAAACAAGTTGAGGAAGATTTTTCCATTGATTCTTGTTATCATTTTGTTCTCAGTGTAACAGGCCAGAAATGTAAGAAAATCCCTGTTTACTACTTAGGAGGACCATAAAATAGTTTTTCCTTCAAGCATTTATTGCAAGCAAGTCAGCATAAACATACTTTTGATCATTTGAAGGTGAAATTTTTCTGTACTCCTTCATTTTCTGGCCTTAGCTGTGTCTTAGATGACATGCTGCCTTTCACCTCACCTAAAACATTTAGTTTTATTAATCATACTAAATTAGGCTTAGGGTGTGTAAGTCGTTTTCATTTGAAATTATTTAACCGGGACATCAGTGTTGGTATTGTTATACTTTTAATTATAACAATATCCCAAAATAAATAATTTTACTTAATCCATAATACAACTTTGTATAGTATTACATCTAGTGTACAGAGTGAGAAACTGAGGCTCAGAGAGCTTGATTCGTGCTTTAAGTGACAAAACCCAAGTGGAACACAGGTCTTTTCCCTGCCAAGACCAGCATTCCACTGTTCTCTATAATGTTTATACAGCTTCTAAAATTTACTTGGATTTAATTTCAATCAATTAACTATAGCAAGGATATAAGTGATACATTTTGCAGTTATTTAGACTGATTAATATGCATCCCCAAGCATTTGCATATTTAATTCGCATAAATGTTTTAACTGAAAAGGATCCAGATATTTAAAGTAGAATTATGTTTGAATCCACCACGTTACTTTAGCTGCTTCTTTTATCCTAGAATACAAAATTGAAATCAATCTTACAAAAGGAGTTAATTTTTCTAATCGTCAAATCTTACTTTAAAATGTAAAACGAAAGAATGCTCTTAAAATAGTTAGTTTCAAATACTGTATATCTTGTTTGATATTGCATAATCTGAAAATACTTCTTTTAAGTCACTATCTTAAAAAGATGAACAATTACTTATATCACTTTGGATGTTTCACACCTAAAAGAGAGTTAAGGTGAGCCTATGATAAAATCTCCAGGAAAGGAATAAAATTATGAAAGGTTCTAAAGATAAAAGCCTTTGTAAAAGTTATTGCTAACTAAGAAATTCTGGAAAAGTATTTTTTTAGTGACACACTTAGCAAAATTACTTTGGTACCTCGGTTTCCACAGCTTCAGAATAGTCAGCATGATGTATATGAACAAGACAATTACAATCAAATAGCAGTCATAACCAGAATTTAAACAAATGGTTGTAAAATATTTGAGATTCTTAAAGATGGGTGATTGGAAGAGATTTTCATATTTTTTGGTATAGTATAAACTCTGTTATATGTTTAAAGACTTATATTTCAATTATGTCTATGATGAACAAAAATTTAGAATTCTTTGATCTAACTATGTCTTCTCTCTTTATATAAATTTTGATTAAGAGTATAAAAGCAATTAGAAAATATTTTCAGTCAGGATTTATATTTTCTCTGTATTTATAAGAAAATACCATTTCTACTATGGATATTTATAGTTATTACATCTCAGGTTTCATTTGGAGAGTTAAAAATTGTGAATCTATACTTTCAGACTTCTTTAAAGAAGCATTTTCTAGAATAAAATACATCTAAGTTTAATCTTTATATAATTTGTTAAATTCATTCTAAGTATCTAAAATTATTTTCACTGAACATCCCCTTTGGAAAGAGGCAGTATTTTTTTTTATTTTTACTTTTTTAAAGATTCCATTTATTTATTTGACAGAGGGAGAGAAAGCACAAGCAGGGGGAGCGACGGGCAGAAAGAGAGGGAGAAGCAGGCTCCCCGCTGAGCAAGGAGCCCAATGTGGGGCTCGATCCTAGGACCCTGGGATCATGATCTGAGCCGAAGGCAGACGCTTAACCAACTGAGCCACCCAGGTGCCCCACGAGGCAGTATTTTAAATCAATAAAAGCTTAAAATTCAAATTTTTTACCTTATTTACTCAAAGTTCATTATAGAAGTATTCACAAAAAAAGAAAAATGAGCTTGTATTTTTCTTCTAATTGTAATAATAGCCTTTAAATTTCTAAAAAGATTTAAAATTCTAAAATTTTATGTATCATCTTTATAATATCTCTTGGAAATAGAAACTAGGCTGAAAATTGAAGATATTATTTAAAAGGTCCTATAGAAAAAAAAAATAAATAAATAAAAGGTCCTACGGTAGGAGTAAGGCCTTGAGTTCGGTTTAGTTTTGTCACCTATCCGCTCAGTAACCTGTAGCCTTAGTTTTCCTCTTTTTAAAATAGAGTATTCATGTCACAAAGTTGAATGAATATGTTATGTGGAATTTCTTTGAAAATTCTATATAAATAAATGACACTCACTTTTTTAACAGATTGGGGGCATTAGAATTTTGCAAATAATTTCTTGAAAATAACACTGCTAGTGTCCACACAATGCTCATCTGTTCAAAAAAGAAGTGCAGTAATTGTAGGTGTTTCATACCAGGGATAAGCAACAAGTACAGATCAGATCTGCCAAGTGCCTGATTGTGTAAACAAAATCTTATTGGAACACAGCTATGCCCTTTACATATTGTCTACAGTTTGCTTTGGTGCTAGAATAGCAGAACTGAGGAGTTTCAACAGAGACCATAACAGCTAGAAAACCCTAAAATATTTATTATCTGGCCCTTTACAGAAAAAATTCGCCAACCCCTAGTAGAAAACAAGCTTAAGTGGCTAAGTGTAGATTTTAAGTCTTCCAGCTCTTACACATGTGTTATTTCCTCTAATTTCTTATTATTTCACTAATATTCTGTAATTAATGTAATTTTGAAGTGTTTGATATGCAAACATGTCTTTAAAATTTCAGAGTGAAGACAGTGTTGACCTACGGCAGACCTGTACTCCACTTGCTTCATCAACAGAATATTCAAGTTCTGTAGATTCTTCACTTTTCTATACACCATGGTCTACTTATGGAGATGATATTAAACAGCCTTCTAATTCTCAGATCAATGTAAAGAACAGGTAAATTAATAAGTCAGATTTTTCAGGTTAAATGAGTTTTTTTTTTAAGTTTGATTACATAGGAACCCTGTTGTATTAGCTCTTTGTTCCCTATATCAGCACTTTAATGTCATGGCATTACAATTCTATGTTTATTAAACTTTTAGAAGCCCTAAACTGGGCAGTTATGTGTATATAATTTTTAGCTCATTACTTTTTTTTTATTCATTAGAGGCAACACTTAGTGAGTAAATCTTAAATTCCTTTTTCTAAGGATAGCTTATATAAATGAGTTATAATTTTTTATTGATTTTTTTCATCCAGTTCTAAATTTTCAGTATTTATTTCCTTAACAAGTATACAACAAACGGGATTTTATCAAATATAAGTTACTTTTAGTTATTTTTTGATTCCATTAATAATAAAGGCCTACTCTATGCCAGATCTGTCCTTTTGGGGATACTAGAATTAACATGGCAAATATTATCCCTACCTTTATAGATCTTACAATAATGATGATGATGATGACTTGCTGGCCACAAGTATAATGAGGTTTAAAAGAAGAAGTATAGGATATTATGGGAGCCTGTTGCAAAGAGAAGCCTAAGGGAATGCCATCTACCTTTATTTTAATTGTATATAAGGGAGCGGTTGATAGAGGTAGATACATCTTTAGTTTAAGTGGAAAATAATTATTTTAAAAATCTTATATGTTTATTCTTTTTTTTTTTTTTTAAGAAATTATGTGCCCAGTGTGGGGCTCAAACTCAGGACCCTGAGATCAAGAGCCACATGTTTCATCGACTGAGCCAGCCAGGCTCCCCAATTTTAATATTTTTTAATTAATAAAATTTTTAAGTGACTCAGTTGGTAGAGCATGCGACTCTTGATCTCAGTGTTGTGAGTTCAAGCCTCATGTTGGGTGTAGAGATTACTTTTTTAAAAAAGATTTATTTATTTATTTATTTATTTTTAGAGAGAGAGAACAAGCAGGAGGGGCAGAGGGAGAGGGAGAGAATCTTAAGCAGGTTCCGCACCCCAGCATGGGGCTCGATCTCACCACCCTGAGATCACGACCTGAGCTGAAACCAAGAGTTGGTCTCCTAAACCACTGCGTCACCCAGGCACCCCTAGAAATTACTTTAAATTTTTTTTAATGTTAAAAATTTGAAAATTGGTAAGTTCTATGAAATGGTGATTTTATTAGAAAGACTAATATGTAATTCTACAAAAAATTTTTTTTTAAAGATTTTTATTTATTTGGGGCGCCTGGGTGGCTCAGTCGTTAAGCGTCTGCCTTCAGCTCAGGTCATGATCCCAGGGTCCTGGGATCGAGCCCCACATCGGGCTCCCTGCTCCGCGGGAAGCCTGCTTCTCCCTCTCCCACTCCCCCTGCTTGTGTTCCCTCTCTCGCTGTGTCTCTCTCTGTTAAATAAATAAATAAAACCTTTTAAAAAAAAAAGAAAGATTTTTATTTATTTATTTGAGAGAGCGAGAATGAGAGAGAGAGCACGCACATGAGAGGGGGGAGGGTTGGAGGGAGAAGCAGACTCCCCGCTGAGCGGGGAGCCCGATGTGGGACTCAATCCTGGGACTCCAGGATCATGACCTGAGCCGAAGGCAGTCGCTTAACCGACTGAGCCACCCAGGCGCCCTCTACAAAAATATTTTTTAAGTTGATCTATGTTCATTGAAAAAATTCAGACTTACAGAAATACACAAAAGAAAGCAGAAGTTCACCTTAACTTTTAACACTTCCCAATAACAACTATTAATAGTTTAGTATATATTACGTTGAATTTTTTTTAGATATATACTAATATATTATTATCCAAAAAAACTTTACATTGAATCTTTTTGAAATAACACAACATAGTGGAAAAAGCATTAGACTTGTAGGCAGACCACTTGTTCAGCAAGTGTACAGTTTGGCAAATCATATGCACTTGCAAAATAAAAGTTTCTTAAAATCTCAAATGCTCATCCTTCAATAGCTTAATGATTACTAATACCTTCCCATCCTATGTTATGAAAATCAATGAAATGTTTGAGTGTTATGCAAATATAAGGTGTTTTTATTTCTAAAATGTCCTAACATTGTGAAATGTTAAAAATAAAGTATGAGAAAACAAGAAGTTACAACCTAAAGCAACATATTACTTCTAGGAACAAATTACTTTAAATACATAGGAGGTAAAAAGGCACTAATTTCAGTCTCCTTGTGGTTTTTACATTTTGTATTATTTAGACAGTGTTAGTCACAAGATACGATTTCAGGTACATGGAACTCTGGTTACTTTAGTAAGGATTTGGGATAGCCCACAAATCGGTTACATTTAAGGGACAACTGCAATATTGGTGTGGTATCTAGGATGACCATATCTCATTTCACTTTTTAAACCCAACATTTGGTCTAAAGAGTCACAAAAATAGAGCAGCAGATTCATATGGTTTTCAAATCACAAATGAAGAAACTGAGCAAGTGTTGATGGAATAATGTATAATGGGACCAGATACGCTTTTAGAAGCAGCCATGGTGCCAAGTCTGTCTAAAACATCATAGGTTAGAGATTTATATCTTGGAACCTAAAATGAATAGCATGTGTTTTGGAGAAATAAAGAGTTAAGCATACATTGTGAACTAGACATAGGATTTGAAACGAAGGAGAAACACTTACATAGCATAGGCACTATGCTAACGTGGAAAATATTCTTGAGTTCCTGTTCCCTCTTTATTTGAAATGATGATATAAATCCAATCCAAATATTTTATAGAAAAATAATGGTATGATAAGTCTGGAAATAGAAATCAATATATTGTATTTCAGCATGAGGAAAAGAATTTACATGTGATATTCATTTATTTTTAGGATTCAAACGGAAAGAAATGACTATGGCAGTGAAACAGACTTATATGGACTTGTGTCTAATATTTTGGAAGAACAAGATAAGTCACAGCCATATTTTGCTGAGGGGTTAGTATATTATATAAGCCATATGGTATATAGTAGGCTTTTAAATTCACATGTACTAGATTACTGTATTTTTACTTAATAAAGGCTCATCTGACAATAGACATCTTAATTCACATATTTGTATCTAACAGCCTTGATTTTGGTGAGGTACTTACCATACAATGGAAGTTTCATACTAAAATTTAATTTACTATTAAGAACTTTCATTTGGAAAATTATTCTTGCATAATTCAGAGCTATTTCCCTCGAGTTTATGAGCTAAAGTTTGGCTTAAAGAGTATAAATTCCAAAGAGCTTTTATAGATATACCCCAAAGAAAAAAGCTATCATTACTGCTATGCAGAAATATGTATGGGCTTTATTCATATGGTAAAAATTTTTAAAATACACTTTGATTGTTTTGGGGGGTGTGGAAGCCATATTACCCAAATGCCCTATTTCATAGATAGGGAAATATGCAGCACACGTGTAACCAATTAAAATATTTTAATTTCAGTAATAGTTTCAGCAAAGTACATCTTTTTCATTTAAAAAATTGCAGTCAACAACATTTTTGTATTATATAATAACCTAATTAAAGGAAAAACTTATTTTGTTTTCTGCTTATTATAGATAAATAATTGATGCAAGATCATGCAGTGACCAGCCTCAGGCCTTAGTTAATGCCTCTTGGGAAAGTATACTGTAGACATATTAAGATTAAAATGAATATTTATGTAGCATGTGACACATTTCAAGTGATAGAAAATTATTTGGATGTAATAGTTGTTTATAAGTCAGAATTAGAAAGGATTAGATAGATAATGGGGCAGTGAGGCGATATAAATGTTTTGAAAACCTGTCCTACCTTCTCCACTAAGGAAATAAAGTCATTTAAAACCTAAGTTGTAATTAAATATATTTACTTGTTCTAGGACCTGCTCCTCCAATTTAAAGTCAGTTTGGCCAATGAACACAAGCAGATTTGCAGATCACCATGACCTCTTAACAGAAACCAAAAGGCCAATAGATACAGCCATCTCTCAGCAAGCTTTTTATAGTGGTGAATCTGTGTCAGCAGTGGAAAAGCAATACCTGCATAATAGTAATCTAACACCACAACAAAAAATAGATGAACTTTATCATGGATTTACTGGTTTAGACCTTGAAGAACAATGGATGTACCCCTCACGAAGTGATCATTCTAACTGTTACAATATCCAGACAAATGATACAGCTAAGACAACATTCCAAGATTATCCATTTATCAAAAACTGTTTTACATCACAAACTGGTCTGTCTGACATCATGAAAGAATCAGGAGTTGATACTTACCCTTATGGAAGAGAGAAAATATGTACTAAAGGTCTTGAAGCACCATTACAGCAGAAAAGGGCAGAGATGTTTCTTTCTCAATTTAATAGATACAATGAAAATGCAGATTATTGTAGATACCCAGAATATGTTCATCCTAATAAGGCTAAGCTTAATAAGTGTTCGAATTTTAGTGTCCAAGATAGTAAAAAATTAGCCAATGGCACACCTGAAACACCAACTTTAGAAGCAGACACCTACACAAAGTTATTTCAGGTTAAACCAGCAAATCAGAAAAAAATGGAGGAGACAATACCTGAACAGCAGAATTTCACATTTCCAAAAACCACACCACATCTAACAGAAAAGCAGTTTGCAAAGGAAGCAGCATTCACTGCTGATTTTGGCTTAAAATCAGAATTTGGACTAAAACCTCACACAGCTTGTCCACCTAATAATGATTTTGCTAATGTCACAGAAAAACAGTTTACTAAACCTGACCCCCCAAATTCTGAGTATTTTAAATCTGTGAATTTATTATCAAACTCAGCAACATCTTCAGGTATCAACTTAAGCAGACCAACTTGGATGAATGTCCAAACAAAAAACAACACTCTTATTCCTTATCGGAATCAAGGTAACTTGATGAGATTAAATAGTCACTTAAGTGTAGCTTCAAAAGGTTCTAACCATTCTTCAGATTTCCCCCAACTGTCATCCACAAATTTAACCCCAAATAGCAGTTTATTTCAGAAGTATTGCCAAGAAAACCCTTCAGCATTTTCTAGTTTTGATTTCAGTTACAATGGTGCAGAAAGAATTCAATCTGTCAATCACATGGAAGGACTGACAAAGACTGGAGAAGAAAATCTCTTTGAATCAGTTACTGATAAAAAAATAAAGCAACCAAATGGATTTTGTGATAACTATTCAGCTCAGCAGTATGGGATCATTGAAAATGTAAACAAACATAATTTTCAAGCTAAGCCTCAGAGTGGACATTATGATCCTGAGGAAGGTCCAAAGCACTTAGATGGCTTATCTCAAAATACGTATCAAGATCTGTTGGAGTCACAGGGTCATTTTAATAGCCACAGACAGGGAAGTGGAGACAACAATATTAATAGCCGTGTGAATCGTGCACAGGCGTCATGCTTTTCTAATAATTATATGATGGGAGATTTAAGGCATAATCAGAGTTTTCAACCACTTGGTACAAATGGGTTTCCCCTAAGATCCACTCACCCATTTGGCCATTCAGTTGTTCCACTGTTGGATTCTTATGATTTGTTTTCTTATGATGACTTAAGCCATTTATACCCTTATTTTAATGATATGATGTATGGTGATAATTCCTTTTCTGGTTTCGTGCCAACTTTTGGATTTCAAAGACCAATTAAAACCCGTAGTGGACCAGCCAGTGAACTTCATATTCGACTAGAAGAGTGCTATGAACAATGGAGAGCATTAGAAAAGGAGAGAAAAAAGGTAACACAAAGCTATCCATTTAGGAGTAACAGGATGTTCCCTCTGCCTCTCTTCATATTGTTTGTTAGAGTAGTTTGAGTACTTGCCTTATTTCTAAGCTAATTCTATAATGTACAGTATTTGTTAACTATATTGACTATAAGGAATTAATTAGATGACAAGCTTCAGGCTTAAAAAAAAATCATTATTTATGTAAAGTTTATTTTGCCTATGAAGTAGACTTTTTCCTTATTGGGTTAAAAGTTTACTTCTTTTGGGGTGCCTGCCAGGCTCAGTTGGAAGAGTATGCGACTCTTGATCTCAGGGTTATGAGTTTGAGCCCCATATTGGGTGTAGAGACTACTTAAAAATGAAATCCTTTTGGGCGCCTGGGTGGCTCAGATGGTTAAGCGTCTGCCTTCGGCTCAGGTCATGATCCCAGGGTCCTGGGATCGAGTCCCGCATCGGGCTCCCTGCTCCTTGGGAGCTTGCTTCTCCCTCTGCCTCTCTCTCTCTCTGCCTCTCATGAATAAAAAAAAAAAAAAAAAAAAGATGAAATCTTTTTGGGGCACCTGGGTGGCTTAGTTGGTTAAGCAGTCACCTTCAGCTCGGGTCATGATCCTGGAGTCTCAGGATCGAGTCCTGTATCAGGCTCCCTCTTCAGTGGGAAGTCTGCCTCTCTCTCTGACCTTAGCCCATCTCATGCACTCCATCTCTCTCTTACTACCTCTCTCAAATAAGTGAATAAAATCTTTAAAGAAATAATAAATAAAATCCTTTTTTAATTTTTTTTTAAGATTTTATTTATTTACTTGAGAGAGAGAGTGTACAAGCAGGGGGAACAGCAGGCAGAGGGAGAAGCAGACTCCCCACTGAGCAGGAAGCGCGATGCAGGACTCGATCCCAGGACCCCGAGATCATGACCTGAGCTGAAGGCAGACGCTTAACTGACCGGGCCACCCAGGTGTCCCCAAATCCTTTTTTTTTAAAAAGTTTTTAATTGGGGCACCTGGGTGGCTCAGTTGGTTAAGCGACTGCCTTTGGCTCAGGTCATGATCCTGGAGTCCTGGGATCAAGTCCCACGTCGGGCTCCCTGCTCAGCAGGGAGTCTGCTTCTCCCTCTGACCCTACCCCCTCTCATGCTCTCTCTGAAATAAATAAATAAATCTAAAAAAAATAAAAAGTTCTTTTAATTATTAAGCTGTTGGAGCCTTTGGGTATTTTATATGCATTAAATATGATAGAAAAATATGGTGGTATCGTGGTTTGTATTTGTTGCTTTTTGAAACTGAAACAATTTTAAAGTCCTGATTTTCAATTTATTTCTTAGGCCTAGGAGAAATGTTATTCAGTATTGAATCATATTGAGAAAGTTCGGCATCTAAAAGTTCCATAATTTTTTACAGACTGAATTGGCCCTGGCCAAGATTTACCCAGGAAAAAAAGTATCCAGTACTAACAACACACCAATTCCAAGGCTGACCTCCAACCCATCTCGAGTTGATCGCTTAATTGTGGATGAACTTCGGGAACAAGCCAGAGTAAGCTGTAAAAACACCCAATAATGGATTTTTTAATTGATAAAATTTTAAAACAAGTCAGAGTTCTGAAGGATTTTTAAATCACATGCATAACTCTCTGAAATATATTCTTTTCCATGTTTGGTCCTAGAACTATGATTAATAATTAGGGAAGGGGAAATAGCACTCCCTTAATCATTTAAAAAGTAGGTTTAGTAACTTAAATGGTTCCTCTTTAAGAAACCCAAATTAACATAGAGCTAATCCTCAATAGAAAGAATTTTAAAGCAAAAATAATTTTGAATATTATTTATAAAGAAAGTCCCATTTCTTAGACATAAACATTTGTTTTCTAGCTTGATGAGGATTTATACAAAATGGTAAATCAGGTAATTACTGTATTTCATTTTCTTAACCCTGTACTCTTGAGTTATTCAACAAACATTAAATATATCCAGCAATGTATTAAATACGGAAGAATATAGGTATGCATAATTTTGTAAAATACTCTTGTTTTAGAAAATTAGTATATCACTTCAAATATAAAGAATCCTGATGTTAGGTCACTTTGTAATTTAACAAATGATTATTCCTGTTATTTCCTTTGTAATTTCAAAATTTTCTAGAACTTAATAGAGCAGGGTAAAATTTCTCTTTCTTGACCTTCCTCTCTTAAAAACTTATACTGTTTTCCAAATAAAATATGATACAAGATTCTTGGGAGGGGCGCCTGGCTGGCTCAGTCGGAGGAGCGTTTGACTCCTGATCTCAGAGTTGTGGGTTTGAGCCCCATGTTGGGCGTAGAGATTACTTAAAAAAATAAACTTGGGGTGCCTGGGTGGCTCAGTCGTTGAGCATCTGCCTTCGGCTCAGGTCGTGATCGCAGGGTCCTGGGATCGAGCCCCACATCGGGATCCCTGCTCGTCAGGAGGCCTGCTTCTCCCTCTCCCGCTCCCCCTGCTTGTGTTCCCTCTCTCACTGTGTCTCTCTCGTCAGATACATAAATAAAATCTTTAAAATAAATAAATAAATAAATAAATAAAAATATTCCTGGGAAAAAGCATGCAGTAAAGACAGCTTGCTTCTGTGATTGAATAAAAGCCATTTTAGGAATTAGAAAAATCAACATAGCAGAGTGTATTTTATTGAACACCAGTTTCTTGTACCTTGCTGTCTTTAAAATGTAGATATGAACTACTTCATCGGAAAAAGATTGATTTTACCTAGCTTTCAGTTGGTCACTTGAAATTCTATATCAAATTTGTAAATTTGTACAATGGATTTATCAGTGGTTATAGCAGATACCAACATGGGTTACAGCCAAATGTTATGTTAATAATAACTTCCAAAAAAGAAAAGAAAAAAAAAAACTTCAGTCTTTCATTATTTTCTCTTAAGACTCTTCCAAGTTAAAATTTCTTTTCTGGGGCACCTGGGTGGCTCAGTCGTTAAGCGTCTGCCTTCCGCTCAGGTCATGATCCCAGGGTCCTGGGATTGAGCCGTGCCTCGGTCTCCCTGTTCCGCGGGAGGCCTGCTTCTCCCTCTCTGCACCCCCTACTTGTGTTCCCTCTCTCACTGTGTCTCTTTCTCTCAAATAAATAAATAAAACCTTAAAAAAATAAAATAAAATTCCTTTTCTTCAGTAATACATGTCTAGGCAATATATCAAAGGACTGCAAACTTAATAAACTTTTTCCAGCTTTGCTTATGCTTCACATTATTTTAGGTTATGTTTATAGCTGTTGTAAAAATTTGTTTTATCTATATTTAGCAACATTAGACCAATGATCACAAAGGGCAAAAATATTTTTATATGTACTACTTTCTAGTTTGCTGGTTTTATACAAATCTGAAAAAAAAACTTTTAAAAGTTTATTAAAAATCACCTGTGCACATTTCTTTCTTTATACTTATTGTTTATTCAAAATGATTCTTATTTTAAAAATACATAATTGGTTCACATTTAATATCTATATACCTATGTTTTCTCCATGGACCTGAAGTGGACTCCAAAGAAACTTGATATGAGGGTGAGGTTAGAGGCATTCATTCAGTTGCCATTAGCTTCTTAATTGAGATTATTTTCTTACTCTCTCCAATCACTGAACACCAAGTTCTTATGTGAATTTTAATTTGTGAATTTTATTATTTTTTTTAAATATTTTTTATTTATTTGACAGTGAGAGAGAGACAGCGAGAGCAGGAACACAAGCAGGGGGAGTGGGAGAGGGAGAAGCAAGCCTCCCGCGGAGCAGGGAGCCCGATGCAAGGCTCGATCCCACGACCCTGGGATCATGACCTGAGCCGAAGGCAGATGCTTAATGACTGAGCCACCCAGGCGCCCCTAATTTGTGAATTTTAAAACATTTAGCTCCCAAAGGCAATTACTGTATTTACTTCATGTTTAAATCCTAATTATTGAAAAAGTTCTCTTTCAAGTTTAGAATTTGAGACAAGTTAGGTATATACAACTAGAAAATATACTCCCCTTACTGATATAATGGATTAGGGATTCCTTAAAACTACCACTAGTCGGTGTGATCTGAATATTTCTGATTTCCAAAAGGAGAATGCTGGAAGCCCAGAAAGGACTTGCCGAGGTCAGGATTAATCAATCTAGGACTTCTCCCTTTTAGCTCAATTTTTTTTCCTTTACAGTACTTTCTAAAAATGTTCTATTTGCAGGCTGTTCTCTTATTTGCCAAAAACAATCTTAGATCTTAAATTTGCACTTACTGTCAGTGACGTGGAAATGTTTGAGTGTTCAATTTTTTTAACAGTTGCTTATTCCCAGTAACTGATTACTGAAACAAGGAGGTACAAAAGATTGGCTTTATATCTTTGTTTTCCCCAGCATGGTATCAGGACACAGTAGGCATTCAGTTATTTATTAGATGAATATTATTGCCCTCATCTCTATTCTGCTTCATTGAAGATTTGTTCTTAAATAAAAGACAGGGCAGTATGGTTACATGCCTTATCAAAATTTAAAATGTGTTACATGCCTTATCAAAATTTAAAATGTTTCCCTCAGGTTGTGACTCTACTAGGCAAAATGGAACGTCTTCGAAGCTCTCCCCTTCATGCCAATATCTCTACTGCTCTTGATAGACACTTGGAGTCCATTCACATTGTACAGTCACGTAGAAAGGATGAAATTGTTAATGCTTCAAATCGGCAAAGGCAAGGAGTTCCTAGATGCCAAGATGACAGAGGTATAAGCAGTAATGCATATTCTTTTGATAAGGCAGTGAGATTTGAATGTTGTTAAAATCAGATTCTGAAGTTAAAAGGTTGGATTTCTAAAATTTACATTTAGCTAAAGAATAAATTGGTAAATGATGCCCAAATAATTTACTCTAAAAGTACTTTGATCAATTTTAATTTTACCCATTTAATTATAACTCTGTCAAAGTCTGTGTTCTACCCAAAGCATAGTCATTGTACTATAAGTCAGAAATACAGTATCAACAATTTTAAATATTAAGTCAAATACTTTAACCCACTCAGTCAATAGCCATCCTTCTTTTATAAAAATAATGTTTGATAATTTAATAGCACAACATTGGGCTTTTTAAGAGTTAAGGAACATATAAAAGGTATCTAATATGAACTGACCCTGAATGGTTTTTTTACAGATGTTTTTGCCCTTGCTTCAGCAATTAAAGAGATGTGTGTGGCTACTCGGAAAGCACGCACTACCCTGTGGTGTGCACTGCAGATGACCTTGCCAAAAACAGCCAGTACAGCTGGCCAAACAGATGTGGAAAAGGCTTTACAAGATATAGTAAACTGTGAAGATAAAGTCCATGAAAACATAAATAGTAGCAATCCATTGAACCAGAGAGGTGAAGCAAACAAACATTAAGGAGATGCCAGCATAAAGAAGAATAAAAAGCTGATAAGTAAATGTATCAAGACATGCTAAAAAATTTTAATGAACTTGTCAAACTTGAAAATTTCAATACATTAATTTTCTTTCAGATTTAAAGTTAATACCTTAATGAAGTCTAACTTCTATTTAAAAATCTTCTATTTGGAATGAATCAGATATAGTTTAAAGTGAACTCAAAGGGAAAGTTGACTACTCTAGGAGTTCCGAGTAGCCAAAAATAACAAGTAAATATTTCCTAACAGCTAAAATATTGCTTAAGCCCATTCTGCAGTGCAGGTAAATGCGAATGTGAAATTGTTCTAGAAGATAAGTTTCATTTAGGTCTGCCTTAGTAAGTATAATTCCAAATAATGAATCTAAGTGACTGTAACCCAATTATGGCTACAGTCTAGTAACCAAGACAAGTTTTGATTGTGATATAAAAGTGTTTTCCTTACAAAACTGGATAATACCTAGGAAACAAAGGAAAACAAGGATGAACCCAATATTCATGTAAAAATTTAATATTTAAAATACTACCATATTTATAAATTTGAAATCTTAGTGCCTAAGTATATGGAGGGAAATGCATCTGATTCTCCTAAATTAGTGATAAAAGTGCCAGTGTAAAAACCATGCAAGTTACTGAATATAAAACCTGTTCAAATCATTTGTGTATATTCTTTAAAATTTAATTGTACTATCAATTATTACATATTTCCAATTTTAAAGTATTTAAACTGAATCAAAAACAAATTTCCTTTATCTGGATCTTTTAGACTTGATGCACAGTAACTAAAATAATGACTATTGTTTTAATACCCTTAGTTTGCTGCATTTTATGAGGGTATCACGAAGTTCTAAAATGTATTTTTTTAAGTTTAATCTTTAGTTTGCAATTGGTTAGTGTATATTTTGTGTAGTTATGTTCATTAGTTTGCTTCTGTATTTTTTTTAAGAGCTTTTGAAAGCTTGGCTTTTTCTGTTTCTCATCACTTAATATCTTTGTATGAAACCCGAGTAATTTATTCATTAATATGAACTGTTGGTATTATGTGACTCAGAAGATCTTGGGTTTTAACATTTCTCCATGAGTTAAACTATAATATAATGTACTGATGAAATTTAATTGAACTATCCTTGACTAGGAACACTGATGTTTTAAATGTTGGTGTTTTTCCTAGTTTTAGAAATCTTGGTATTAAAGAGTGTAATCACACCACATAAATTTTCTTTAGATGATGTGCGGAAGAAACTGATTGAGAATGCAGGAGTAACTGTAGGGAGAAACATTTTGATCACTGATATGCTTTAGAACTACCCAAATGAATTACATTGAGGGTAGTCAAATAAAATAGATCACCCCACCACACTCACTGCATGGAAAGTGGTTAAGTTTGACATAAGACATGTTGGATGTTTTGAAAACAAATATTGTACTGAATTTAGTCTCTCAGGAAAAAATAAATTACTTTGTTGAAAATATTTGGTTTCTTTTTTTTACATCTTTGTATTAGTTTCTAACCTTAAGTGTTACGAAAGGTCAGAAAACCAAATTTCATTTCACTGGTAAGAACTGGCACTGAGTTTTAAATTTCATTAACATTTAAGTAAGAATGTTGGTAGACAAACCAATGCCTTTCAGATATCCTTGCATCGAACCTGACCTCCTTCAAAGATGTGTTTTTGTTTTTTTTGTTGTTTTTTTTTTTTAAAGATTTTATTTATTTATTTGACAGAGAGAGACAGGAAACACGAGCAGGGGGAGTGGGAGAGGGAGAAGCAGGCTTCCCGCAGAGCAGGGAGCCTGATGTGGGGTTTGATCCCAGGACCCTAGGATCGTGACCTGAGCCGAAGGCAGACACTTAATGACTGAGCCACCCAGGCGCCCCCCCCTTTTTTTTTAAGATTTTATTTATTTGAGGGCGAGTTGAGCAAGAGCATAAGTGGAGAGGCAGAGGGAGAAGCAGACTCCCCGCCGAGTAGGGAGCCAGGGACCTGGAGATCATGACCTGAGCCAAAGGCAGACGCTTAACCGACTGAGCCACCCAGGCACCCCAAAGATGAAGTTTTTGCTCTGCCTTTATACTAATCCAGACAAACCAGATCAAAATTCTGGGGAAGTTTTAACATGACAGTGGTCAGAAATAAAACACTAGTCCGTTAACAAAAACCAAACACAAAAATTCTTTGAAATTCTGTTAATCACGTCACCCTGCAAATAATTCTCATATTAGTTGGTTATCCCTTTCTATGGTATACTCTCTAATGGATGGTTCATATGTATCGTACTTCTGAATTACAACCTATGAGAACAAAAAATATCGCATATAATTTGTAGTGAAACTGATAAAACTGATGCTCCCATCATTTCTAATCCAAAAGAATTCGGTGTACTCAGTTTTTCTAAATAGACAAAGTGATTTATATAAAAGTAGTTAAAAATTATCTTGACGTATATCAGCATCCTTAGCACTTGAATATCTGCTACCATTAAGTTTTAGAGGGTTGGGAATTAATGACTGAAATCCCAATTTTGGACTAAAATGTCAATCATACTACAGAAGGTACGGCTGTTTAAAAATTTGCCCTTTGCAATACTGAACATTTTAGACATAAAGGATTTATCAGCATTGAATTAAGTGAATAACCTTACTCAAAGCCTAATGAGCTGATCCTTTTTTCCCCGTTTAAACATTAGTTCAAGGGGCGCCTGGGTGGCTCAGTCGTTAAGTGTCTGCCTCCAGCTCAGGTCATGATCCCAGGGTCCTGCTTCTCCCTCTCCCACTCCCCCAGCTTGTGTTCCCTCTCTCACTGTCAAATAAATAAAATCTTAAAAAAAATAAACATTAGTTCAAGTATACACCTAACTGTAACATAATAGAGTCCCAGAAGAACTGGCTACTGTTCTAACAGACTATTAACAAGTACACTTCAGGGGTTCATGGATATAACCTGGCTCTGCTTCAGAGACCAAAATCAAGATGAAAATAAACCAAAAATCCAAAATAAGGGTTAATAAAATAGGCTCTCTCATGTATCTGTAGCCACAGCCTATTATTGCTACTGCCATAGAGGACTAAGACTCCAAAAGTACTGCAAGGACTTCAAAGCCAGTTTACTGACTTCCAATAAAACAAGGTAATCTTTCTGATTTCCTAATACCCAACTTCACAGGAAAATTGAGACAGAGAATTTGATTCTAAGAAGAGGTTCTACTAAGAGAGCATATTGGGCTAATCAAAATACAAAGCAAAATTCAACACATTCCTAAGTGACTGTCCACACAATTCATTTCCATGGATAGCTGGAAGCAATCAGAATAAATCAGAAAACAGTGATTTAAATAGTTTATTTTTTTTAAAAGATGGTTACTTTTTTAAAATGCAATGCCACGGTTATAGGAGTGTATAGAGGTGACACATCTTTTCCTTAACCATGCTTTTTACCTTCTGCACAAAGGTAAAATTTTTTTGTTAACCTCTTAGTTAATGGTATAAAACAGGTCAGCAAACTTTTTCTCTGAAGGGCCAGACAGTAAATATTTTAGGTTTCACAGGCCACAAAAGGTCTCTGTCACATACTCCTTCTTTTACAACCCTTTAAAAATGCAAAATCCCTTGCTGACTTGCACCATACAAAAACTTGCACCATACAAAAACAAACCGCGCCAAATTTCCTAGCCTGCAGTAGTTTGCCAACCTCAGGTATAAAATACCTATTTTCTGTCTTGTCAGGGAGATTGCTCCCTTCGGGCTTCTTGACAAGTCTGCTGCCAGAAGTAGAGAAAGGCCTTATTTACAATTGAATGTGGCTTGTGACAAAAGTAGAAATGGAGAGTTCCTGCTCACTTTTGATTCTCCCAGGTTTTTCCACCCATTAAATTTGTTGAATACACACAATGTACACTCTTAAATATCTTTGTGTTAGTAGAGATTTCCAGTGTTTCTTCCTTAGACGCATGGTTCCTGCAGTTTCTTCCAACCTGTAATTATCACATCCTTATACTCATGTTTTAGGGCAGATCAGGATTAAAATCTCTACTAGCAGTCAAGAGGGCTCATGATTATAAAAAATGAATCTAGCTGTCAATGATATCCTTCCACCCAATACACATCCTTCTTCAAAATCACAGCCTGGATGAGGAAAAATATGTAATTATCTCTACTTAAAAAGATACTTCTTTTCCTCCTATAGGCTGAAACTTAAAAAAAAAAAAAAAATCTCAAATCTAGAACATCTACCACATCATTTCTTCCATTTTCATAGTTTGTTGCCATGTTAACATAATATCTGGATCCAGGTAGGCTCTTCATTAGCTTTCTATTTCATCCATAAAACAATACATTAAGAGGTAAATACTACTTTCAAAATACTTTATGCTCCCACATTTCATCTCAGAAAAGGAGTGGTCATGATTCTGCTCCTTCAGGATGAAAACTGTAACTGTCAGCTTTCTGAATATTTCTGTTATTTATCCTAGGTGAGGGAAGACTTTTAAAGTGGCCAAAAGGAGCCAGGACCTCAGTATTAAAATATAAAAGTTGCCCCCATTCCAGATCTTTGGTACAGACATCAACCACAATAATCTGATTACCCACACCACAGAGACATGGCACATTTTGTAATTAGAAGTGTTTGTGATTTTCCTTTTGACCATGTAAACAAAAGGGAAATGCCTTGGGAAACCACTCTGCAATGTTCTCTCACTTCTCTTAAATACACATGTGCACAATCACTTCTCCCTTTGATCAAGTCCATGAGGAGAAAGAACAGAGTGGACCAAGGTTATCGCTTCCGCTCCCCTCTTTGTGTCCTTTTCTTTTCCTTTTCCTTGCGCTCCTGCTTGGCTAGTTTGTCTCTCTCCCTCTGCAACTTGTCCTGTTCCTTCTTCCTTTGGGACTCATCCCGAAGCGAGTCTCGCTCCAGTTTTCGGGCATTGAGGACATCTTCCACATTGGTGTTTCGGAAGAGAGCTACAGGTGAGTTAAGGGATTAGGGTACAGGTCACACAGGTCCCAACTTCTGCTCTGTCCTTATTCTCTCTCTACATATTCCTAAACTTTAAAAAAAAAAAAAAAAAGTCCTGGGGCACCTGGGTGGCTGTCGTTAAGCGAAAAAAAAAAAAAAAAAAAGTCCTGGGGCACCTGGGTGGCTGTCGTTAAGCGTCTGCCTTCGGCTCAGGTCACGATACCCAGGGTCCTGGGATCGAGCCCTGCATCGGGCTCCCTGCTCAGTGGGCTCCCTGCTCAGCGGAAAGCCTGCTTCTCCCTCTCCCACTCCCTCTGCTTGTGTTCCCTCTCTCGCTGTGTCTCTGTCAAATAAAGAAAATCTTTTAAAAATAAATAAATAAAAAGTCCTTATGATAATTTATCTTTGGTCTAATGGGAAATCCTGAAACTACCATTACAAAGGTTCAAACTTTTGAATAATCCTCAGAATAAAAATCTCAGACTTCTCTAAATTTGAATGTTAAAATATTTTATGAAAATGAAATTTCATTCCAGAGTAAGTACTTAGATCATGGCAGAATATTGTTGGGAGTATCTAGGCTAGTTTTAGTGAATAGAGTATTACTGTAACTGGCAAAAATTTTATGTACTTGGCACTATTAAAATGCTTGAAAAAGAGTTAAATAAGTTGTTTAACCTTACTAAACTTTATCAATTTGCTTTTTTTCCTAGACCACTGAAGCTTAAGTGAAAAACATGTTCTAATAACCACAAGCTCTGAATTTATAAAAGACATGAAATAAGTTTAACCAGTTAGGAAATACCCAGCCAAAAACTTTACCCCTCATTTCTTGGGACTTTAAAAACACAACCTGGGGGTGCCTGGCGGGCTTAGTCAGCAGAGCACGTGCCTCTATCTCGGAGTCGTGGGTTCGAGCCCCAAAATGGGTGTAGAGATTACTAAAAAAAACCCAACCTGTTAGCACCAGACAAGCTCCTCTGTACTCTTAAAATATAACTTTTTTGCTTTGGTGCTTTAAAATAAATGTCTCTGAAATAACCTCCCCTTCTTTGATAATCCACCATACTTCTCATCTTTAAGAAGGTGGATTTTTGGGCACCTGGGTGGCTCAGTTGGTTAAGCAACTGCCTTCGCCTCAGGTCAAGATCCTGGAGTCCCAGGATCGAGTCCCGCATCGGGCTCCCTGCTCAGCAGTGAGTCTGCTTCTCCCTCGGACCCTCCCCCCTCCCATGTGCTCTCTATCTCATTCTCTCTCTCAAATAAATAAATAAAATCTTTAAAAAAAAAAAAAAGGTGGATTTTTTTTTTTAAAGATTTAATTTAAGAGAGAGAGCGAGCAAGCACACAAAAGCAGGTGGGGAGGCAGAGGGAGAGGGAGAAGCAGACTCCTTGCTGAGCATGGAACTCGATCCTAGGACCTGAGATCATGACCGGAGCTGAAGGCCGATTGAACCAACTAAGCCCCTAAGAAGGTAGATTTCTAAATGCAGAAGCTTCTCAGGGCACCTGGGTAGCCTAGTCGGTTAAGTATCTGACTCTTGGTTTTGGCTCAGGTCATGATCTCAGGGTCCTGAGATCGAGGCCTGCATCAGGCTCCTCGGGGCCTTCCCGCCGCTTTAGCGGGAAGTCTGCTTGAGATTCCCTCTCCCTCCCCCTCTGCCCCTTTGTCCCACTTGTGCTGTCTCTCTCTCAAATAAATAAATCTTAAAAAATAATAAATGTAGAATCTTCTCATAAGTCTCTGTTGGTAGGGACTTTCCTCAGCACTCATTTCCATCCGTCCGTATTTTCAGCTCAAAAGTATTCAGCGTTTATGTTCTCTTTCTGAAAAATTATACGGTCTCTGAGGACAAAGTCAAAATTTCAATATTATTTTAACTACTTCCACTGCTGGGAAACCCAGTGCTATCCACAGGGAGTATAGATTCTTATTTTTCCTTAGAAATCCTCCCTTCAGTTAAGAAATCCTTCCTCCCTTCACAGTAGATGTTAACATGTTTTCTCTGGGGAAAGTTCTCGTTAAATTGATTATTTACGGTTGGTTGTCCTTGGAATGGGGCTTAAAATGCTGGCCCGACATGAGTTCCTGTCGGTAAAAGGATCCCCTAGCAATGACAGCAAGATGAACACTGTTCCTCAAGAGTATTCAATGGGGAGGGGCGCCTGGGTGGCTCAGTCGTTAAGCATCTGCCTTTGGCTCAGGTCATGATCCCGGGGTCCTGGGATCGAGCCCCACATCGGGCTCTCTGCTCCGCGGGAGGCCTGCTTCTCCCTCTCCCACTCCCCCTGCTTGTGTTCCCTCTCTCGCTGTGTCTCTCTCTGTCAAATAAATAAATAAAATCTTAAAAAAAAAAAAAAAAGAGTATTCAATGGAGAAACATTTGGGGACGGACAAAGAGAAGGATACATTTATCAGAACCAATGTTCATTGTGGTGGCACATGAATCATCCTTCTCAGCTGCTTCGGTGAGGGTCGTTAAGGAAAGTGGGATGGAAAGCAAAGGCCGGCACATCCCAACCCAACGTCAGAAAACATTCCATGAAGTGACGGGCAGGGAAAGCATGCTGGAGGAAAACACCGTCAGAGGTGTGGTGGTAAAGCCAGCACAGTCATCTTCAGAAGTCTCAAGATTGTTCAGAGCTACTGTGAGATCCTTAGCTGCTGGAGGCTGAAAAGAAACAGCCCGGTCTGGGTGGACTTCCCCATTACCTGGCAGCCCAGGGAATGGCGAAAGGACAGTGCTTCTCAAAGTGTGGTTCCCAGAACTCCCGGGGAACTTACTAGAAAAGCACATTCTTGGGCCCCACCCTGCACCTACTAAATCAAACTGGGGAGTGGGGCCCAGCAATCTGGGTTTTAACAAGTTCTCCAGGAGAACCACTGCTTAAAATGTTCTTTTCCAGCTTAAGAAAGGACATTTTGTCATTGGAACCATAGCTCTGCTGACCCTGGCAAGAAAAAAACTTTAGGAGAAACTAGAAGATAAGCTGGCCCCAAAGGGCCTAAGAATTATTTCCTAAACTTGTGATGGGACAGCTAACATTTCTGGTATGAGGTCCACATGCTCCATTCAATCAGGCTCTATAAGCTAAGCATCTCCTAAACGAGTTCAAATTCACAGGGAACCAAGCCTGTCCCTGTCAATAGCAATTGCCTTCGGCACAGCCCCCAAATTCCAGATTTCTTCTGTGTTGGTTGGGGATTCAGTCTCACTTTCAATTATGTGGTCACTGGAATATTAAAAAAATTTTTTTTTCAAATTAAACTGCTCCAAATTTGGGAATCCTTCATCCAAAAACATCCATATTCTAGTCCTGGTTTTGCCACTAAATCTATGCATGTCTCTGATCACACATTCATTTCCTACTGTCACAGTTTCTTTAACAACTGGGAAAAGAATATAAAGATGGATTATACATAGAATACTATACTGGACAGAAAGGTATTACACAAAAATAAAGAATCACAGCTATATCTTAGCTTCTGAAAACACAATATAAATGGTCCATTAAGGCATTTCTTTTACACCGAAGTCTTCAGGAACATACAGATGACGTGTTGACAAATATTAAGTCTCATATCAACTGTCCCAACATCACTCCTCACAGCCATGAAGGGCCACAGATCAGATCCATTTTAGAAAGGAAAAAGTACACTACAGGGGGAGATTGGCAACTTCTCAAAGCTCACTGTAAACCAGCAAACACTTCGGACTCAAGCCTCAGGGAATGGTCTCAAGACTCCGAAAAGGATATTCTTCTTCGTCTGTCACATCAGCATACTGGGCCAGGAGGGCGGCTTTTCTCTGCTTCTCCTCTTCGGACACCATCCTGGGCTTCACCACAATCTGTGCCTGCTTCTCAATTAGGGTGGCAATGGCCTGTACCTCATCTGGGAGGGGGAAGGGAAGGGAAGGGAGTGACAACAAGGCTGTATGTGAAAAAACAAGCTCACCAAACCACTAGTCCACCCAGATAGTGCTTGCAGGAAAGACAGTGGCATCTGCTGACTCTTTAGGGCCCTGGGCTTCAAAGGAGGTGCCTCGGGGGCCAATGAGAAAGGCAAGGGAAGGCCATGCAGGCTAGGCTTTAGGTCTTGTATCCATCCTCGATCAGAGCAGCCCTGCTTTTACCTGTTTTATAAATTGAAGTTCTGCTGCTTAAAAAAAAAAGAAAAGAAAAAAGGTTGAAAAGCACTGCATTAGAATCATAGAAAATTCAGCTTCAAGCATGCAACTTTCTCCCCTCTTAACCCAGAAACCTAAGAAGGAATCTAGAATCAACTTATGCTGGTCCTTTTGTAGTGATGATTATGCCAGGTGAAATTCATAGATTATTTTAAAATAAAATCACCTATTGGGGTGCCTGGGTGGCTCAGTCGGTTGAGCATCTGCCTTCAGCTTGGGTCATGATCCCAGGGTCCTGGGATCAAGCCCCACATCAGGCTCCCTGCTCAGCGGGAAACCTGCTTCTCCCTCTCCCACTCCCCCTGCTTGTATTCCCCCCCTCGCTGCCTCTCTGTCAAATAAATAAATCAAATCTTTGAAATCAAATCTTTGGGCGCCTGGGTGGCTCAGTTGGTTAAGCGACTGCCTTCGGCTCAGGTCATGATCCTGGAGTCCCGGGATCGAGTCCCACATCGGGCTCCCTGCTCAGCGGGGAGTCTGCTTCTCCCCCTGACCCTCTTCCCTCTCGTGCTTTCTATCTCTCATTCTCTCTCTCTCTCAAATAAATAAGATCTTTAAAAAAAAAGAAATCAAATCTTTAAAATCAAATCAAATCAACTATTAAGTGAACCATTCTCAAAGAAAGGAGGCAATGGTGCCCAGTAGTGGTTTTTACACCTGGATCCACATTAGAATCATCTGGGAGCTTTAGAAAGAAAAAAAAGGGATGCCTAGGTGGCTCAGTTGGTTAAGCCTCTGCCTTTGGCTCGGGTCATGACCCCAGGGTCCTGGAATCAGGCCCCATCTCGGACTTCCTGTTCAGTGGGGAGCCTGCTTCTCCCTCTGCCCCACCCCCTGCTTGTGCTCTCTCTCCCTGTCTCCCTCTCTAATAAATAAATATCTATCTTTAAAAAACAAACAATACATGGGTCCCACCCCAAAGATATTTCTATAACTGGTCCATGGTATGGCCCAGGCACTGGCATCTTTCAAACTATATCAGGTAGTTCTAATGGACAGCCAAGACTGAGAACCAATGTGTAGACAGTTTAGAATTGCTTCAAGTCTGGCTTTTACAATTTGAGTTTTCTGCAGTTAATCTGTCATTCTAATGGCTGTATTAATCCACTTCTCTTTCATTTTAAGGGCTGACAAAGTTAGCTGAATAAACCAAAATATCAATCACAATTGTTAAGAAATGAAAATATGGAAAAGTAAGGGGGGGGATATAGTTGGCCCCAACCCCTGCCATGAAAATCTACCAGGGGCAGTGGAAAGCGGATGAAAAGAAAAGTGTAAGCCAGAATGAAGATGGCTGTGGTCAGAGGAGGTAGAAAACTGGAGAAGGGGAAAAGGAAACGTTCAGTTAAAAAGTTCATGGAAGCTGCTGGGTATTTACCAGTTTAAATTATCTTAAGCAAAATGAGTAGAAGATGGAGAAAACTCAAAATTCTCTCGCTAACAGCTATACAGGAAAGGTTGCTGGAAAAGGCACTGGAGGTTAGACAGACAAACTCCCAACTCTACCTTCTTTTTTCACATTGGTGACGACATTTTGACTTTCCGACCATCGTTCCACAATCTCCTTGCAGATGTTAAGAAGAGAATCTTCTTCCTAGTTGGAAAAGTAGACCAATTAATTTCCTGAGAGCCCTCAGCCTGAACAAAGCCCAGGCACAGGGCACAGCTCTCCCTTGGTGATGAGGAGTCACGGGGAAGGTTTGGGAGCCACATGTTTCTCTTCTGAGTCTCAGAATCCACACCTGCTGGGTCAAGAGCACCCATTCCATCCTGTCAAGCGCCAAGGGAAAGGATTCACAATAACTTAAGACAGTCATCTTCATGCTTCTGGAGCAAAAACCTGTTGCCTGAGTTAAAACTCTCCTCTGTGAGATCTTCCTTGGCTGATGACACTCAACTCAGTATACTCTCCAAGGTTTATCAACTTACATGTTGGAACATATCCATGACCTTGCTGACCCCACCGCTTTAGGTGATAAATGAGTAGATGTCTCCTATCCACCCATCCCTCTGTCCATTTTACACAAGCATACATATTCTGCATGCTGACCGATCTTCCTCCTTAGCATGGTATAACAAAAGGATGTTGGCTTCAGTATCAGACATACTTAAAGTCAAACCCAGATCTATGAACGAGTTTCTTAACTTTCTGAGCTTCGCATCTTGTCAGGAATTTAGTGAGGATGAATGAGAATGTGTAAAAAACCCCTACCCTGCTTGGCGAAGAAAAAGCATTTCAACAAATATGGGTATTTCCATCCATCTTCATTATGGCTGCCTACCATCTTCATGTTCTACCCCTCAAAATGAGCTGTCCGCTCATGTGCCAGGCACTGTTCTCAATACTTCACATAAGAATTCTTAAAACAATCCCAAGATATAAGCACTATTGCTACTCTCAATTTATAGATGAGGAAACCAAGGTACAGAGGTTAAGTAATTTGCCCAAGGTCATACAACTAAAAAAACAAAAAACACAAATGGATTAAACAGGATTTGAACCCGAACAGTCTACCTCCAAGCCCATGTTCTCAACCATTATATAATACCTTCTCTCAAAGAAAGCAAGGAGAGGCAGAACACAGACTTTTTAAAGATTTTATTGTTTGTTTGTTTGTTCTAAGTAATCTCTATACCCAATGTGGGACTTGAATGCACAACCCTGAGATCCAGAGTGACATGCTCTACAGAATGAGCCAGCCAGGTGAACCCCTCTTTTGGATTTCCTTATTTTGTACCTAACAAAGGATTCCATCTTCTACCCTGCCTCCTTTAAGCACATATGTCAAACATACAGAACTTCTTTAGCCCAGTTTCTGTAGTTCACGGACCCCCCCCACCCCGCCCTGAACAAGAAAAGCAAAAGAAGAAAAGGAAGGAAAAGGAGTAGAGAAGCAAAAGAGAAAGGGTGCCCTTGGAGGACAAGGTGGTTTATTCTATTTTCTTCACCCAGACCAAAAGAGTTCATCATCCATTTGTTCATTTATTCATCCAGATGGTGCCTGCCATGTTGAAGGCACTAAGATGAGTGATAAGAGATGAATGAGAAACAGCCCCGGGTCTCATGACGCTGACAATTTAGAAGGCTGCTATATAAACAACTGCCATAAAATGCAATACCCCAATTAATGTAATAATCCTACTTAAAATTTAAAACTTACCCCTCCATTCCACTCCTGATCTTATAATGTTCCTTTTTTCCTAGCACTTATCATTTTCCTGCAGGCTTTTGTCATGGGACAGCCCTGGGCACTGCCTCCTAAAGAGCACAGACATCCCAGAGCACTTTATTCCCCTCTCTGAACACTGTCAATGGATGGGAATGAAATTGGTCGTTATGCGTTAATGATAAAATCTCATTTAGACATTTCAGCGCCTTCGGAAGAATACTCACCTACAGGCGTCCGAGAGGGCCGTTTCCCCAGGAATAAGGGAAATCCATTCTTCTCTATGCACCTGCAATCTCCTGACTTCCCCAAACCCTGGTTGGTGAGCAATCCCCTTCCCCCGCGGCCAAGAGCTCAGAATATCCTCTCCCAGGTGAGGTCACTAATTGTCTGGGACACCACGTATGGGAAAGGGGTTACGAAGTACTGACAGGGGCCGCAGGGAGCTAAAGGAACGTGTCCGGGCTTCTCACCAAGAAAGCAGAGAGGATACCCTGCAGAGCGTCCAGCTTCTCCTCTTCCTCCTCCTCCTGCAGGACACCCAGGATGTAGGCACCGTAAACGGCTCGATCCACTCCCAGCGCCTCCAACCGTCCGTCCAGCCACGACCCAAAGCCGCTGCCCCCGCCATCGCCTTCTCCGGAGGCAGCCGCAGCCACTTCGCTGGGCGCCGCCATCTTGGGGTCGGGGTCCTGCCGACCTCCAGGGCGCCTACCGCAGTGCCTGACGGGCCGCGCCGCAGGCCCACTGCGCATGCTCCGAAGGAGAACCCACAGCCCCGCGGGTGGGGCCTAGAGCCAATCGACCTGTAGTGGTCCGCCTGGGCATTTTGCACCTTCTAAGTAGAGCGCCTGTTGGCGTAGGCGCGGTTACGTCATCGCTCAGGAACGCGGCAGATGAGTCTTCCTAACAGACTCTTTTTTTACAGTTGGTTCAGAGAGGTTCGGTAACTTGGCCAAAGTCACGCGGTTTAGTTAAACAGGCCTGGAACTCAACTTCGATTTCAGCGCTTCGGCCCACCTCGCCGAACTGCCCTTCCCCGCGCCCTGGTGGGATAGGTAATAAGTCGCCCATTCCCCCACAGCTTTCGAGAAGGAACCGGCTGACTGTCCCGGATACCCACTGTCTCCATCAACTAGCACCACCTTCGCTTTTCCAAGCTCCGCGCGTATCAAAAACTCAAGCTCTAGAGAACCTTCCCCAGGTCCCTGCGGTCTGTGTTAAGACCGCTCCAATGTGCCGCGTTGCTTCTCTGCATTTAGCATGCAGTATCGGACACAGTAGGTGCTCAATAAATGATCAGGCACCCTCAAGTCATTTTTCACTCATTCATTAAACACTTAAACGCATATCTCTGAGGAGCCTTCTTTACTCTTTGCCTGGCACTGTGCTAAGTAAGAGCTTTTGATGCATTATTGCTTGTAAGCCCCTCAACCGTGTGAGGAGATACTTTTATTGTCCCTGTATTAAAGGGAAGGAAACCGAGGCACAGAGTCCCACAGCTACAGGAAGCCTAACCAGAGGCAAGGAGCTCGTGCACAGCCCCCAGAGCCTCGGCTGCCTCTGGGAAACACCTGGCTCCGGGCCAAAATAAATTACCCAAGAAGCTAGGTTGGCTTTTCCTGAATTACAGAGAGGCTGGTAGGTCCCTGACCTGACTCCTTCATTCACTAAATACCTGAGTACCTACAACATGGCATAGCTCCTAGGCACTGAAAATACAAAGATAAAAATGTCACAAAATCTCTGCCCTCAAAGGGACTTCAGTCTGATGGGAACAGGCAACATTTAATGACAATATAGTGAGGTAAATGTTTTAATGGAGCTTTGTCCAATGGAGGCTGTCCATTGGGGCTTGTCAGTTGACAGACTTGGGAGCCATTATGACTCAAGGGTCATAGTTGGAGGTCAGTGCAGAGCCCCTCAACCAGAAAAGTACCATGAAATTTTGTTAGCTTTTCTTTTAATTTTTATTTTGAAATAATTATGGACTCATGGGAAGTTGCAAAAATAGTACATAGAAACCTGTGCACCTTTACCCAGTTTCCGCCAATGGTAACATCTATGTAACTGTAGTACGATATCAAAATTAGGGACTCGATATTGGTACTATGCACAGAGATTTTTGAAGGCCTTAGGAACTTCTCACAAAACTGAGTGAAGGCTCTTCAGACCCTGCATTAAAGAAAATACTTAAGGGTTCCTGGGTGGCACAGTGGGTTGGGTATCGACTCTTGGTTTCAACTTGTGTGGTGACCTCAGGGTGGTGAGATCCAGCCCCTCATCAGGCTCTGCGCTGGGCACACAGTCTGCTTGAGTTTCTCTCTCCCTCTCCTTCTGCCCTTCCTGCACATTCTCTCTCTCTCAAATAAATAAATAAATCTTAAAAAAAATCCTCATTGGCTATTTTATTACAAAAGTAATCACTTGTGGTTAAAAAATACAACTGGAAAAGTGACAGAAAGCTTACAGAAAAAGGCAAAATTACTTTTTAAACTATAAGAAGATGCTGACACATAATTTTTTAAATATGCAAATTAAACTTGGAGATGAGATACCATGTTTACGTCTCAGACCAAAAAGGCTGATGATGGGGTGTCTCGGTGGCTTGGGCGTTGGACGTCTGCCTTCTACTGAGGTTATGATCCCAGCGTCCTGGGATCCAGCCCTGCGTCAGGCTCCCTGTTCAGCGGGGAGCCTGCTTCTCCCTTTCCAGCTTCCCCTTGCTTGTGTTCCCTCTTGCTGTCTCTCTCTGTCAAATAAATAAAATCTTACCTCTCTCACTGTGTCTCTCTCTGTCAAATAAATAAATAAAATCTTAAAAAAAAAAAAAAAAAAGAAAAGAAGGTGGGGTAGGGGGAATACATATACATATGTGTCCTTGCAAGAAAGAAAAGAAGGTGGGGTAGGGGGAATACATATATATGTGTGTCCTTGCACATGCATAAAATATCTCTGGAAAGATACACAAGGGGTAGGAGGATGGTTGTCACTGAGGAGGAGAACTCAGGGAGACTAGTTTCAAAAGATTTTGTTTTAAAATTATGACTGGGGCACCTGGGTGGCTCAGTTGGTTAGGCATCCGACTTTTTTTAAGATTTTATTTATTTGTCAGAGAGAGAGGGCACAAGCAGGGGGAGTGGCAGGCAGAGGGAGAAGTAAGCTCCCCACTGAGCAAGGAGCCCGATGTGAGATTCGATACCAGAACCCTGGGATCATGACTGGAGCTGAAGGCAGACGCGCAACCGACGGAGCTACCCAGGCTTCCCTAGGCATCTGGCTCTTGATTTCGGCTCAGGTCAAGATCTCGGGATCCTGGGATTGAGCCCCGCATCAGGCTCCACATTCAGTGGGGAGTCTGTTTCTCCCTCTGCCCCACCCCCACTCATGCTCTCTCTCGCTCGCTCTCAAATAAAATCTTTTTTTAAAAGATTTTATTTATTTATTTGAGAGAGAGAATGAGAGAGAGAGAGCGAGCACATGAGAGGAGGGAGGGTCAGAGGGAGAAGCAGACTCCCTGCTGAGCAGGGAGCCCGATGCGGGACTCGATCCTGGGACTCCAGAATCATGACCTGAGCCGAAGGCAGTCGCTTAACCAACTGAGCCACCCAGGTGCCCTCAAATAAAATCTTTAAAAATAATAAAATTGTGAGCTATTTGTTTATTTACCTTGCATCTTTTTTTTTTTTCTTTTCAGAAATAAAACTTACTTGAATACTTTCTCCAATCTCATTGTCTTCCCTCCCTCCCCAGAGGTAACCACTATTCCTAAATTTGGTGTTTATCTTCCTCTGGAATGTTTGAAACATAGTATATATTACAACATGTATATGTATTTATCCATACATATATATGTATCTGTAAACAATATGTCATGTTGTTTTTGCATGTTGGACTTTTCATCCTGCAGTGTGCTTTTTTTTCACATAAATTGTTTAAAATATTTACCTATGTTGATACAAGTAGCTCTTATCCATTCATTAAACCACGCTATAGTATTCCACTGCTTGAATATATCCCAGTTGATCTATTCCTTTGTTGGCGGGCATTTAGGTTATTTCCCAGTTTCCCAAATAGTGCTTCAATTCACATTCTTATATATGTCTCTTTATATGCTTGTGGGAAAGTTTCTCTAGGCCAGTAAGCATCAAACATACATTTTTTAAAAGATTTATTTATTTATTTTAGAGAGAGAGTATGAGCGGTGGAAGGGGCAGAGGGAGAGAGAGAATCTCAAGCAGATTCCCCACTGAATGCAGAGCCTGATGCAGGGCTCGATCTCATGACCCTGAGATCATGACCTGATCTGAAACCAATAATCCGATGCTTAACTGACTACGCCACCCAGGCACCCAGCATCAGACATATTTTTGCCACATACTCTTAGCAGGAAAAATATTTCACTATGCATGTCTAATGTATGAATGTGTATTTATTTGTGAATCACTATAACAAATTAGTATTCCATCATAAAACATCCAAAAAATAACTATAAAAGGGGGGATTAAAAAGTGAATAATGATGGTTAGCATTTTTTAGCAATAAAGTAATTTTTAATTTAAAAAAAATTGAAGAGGGGCACCTGGGTGGCTCAGTCAGTTGAATGTCTGACTCTTGATTTTGGCTCAGATCATGATCTCAGAATCGTGGGACCGAACCCCACATCAGGCTCTTCGCTCAGTGTAGTCTTCTGGTCCCTCTCCCTCTGCTCCTCTCCTCACTCGCTCTCTCTCAAATAAATAAATACAATCTTTTTTAAAAGGTGGAGTAAATAGGGGTGCCTGGCTGGCTTAGTTGTTAGAGCATCCAACTCTTGATCTTTGGGTGATGAGTGTGAGCCTCATTTTAGGCATAGGGATTACCAAAAAAAAAAAAAAGTGAGGTAAATAACGTATTACAAATATCATACATATTACGAAAATCCTTAGTGAAAATAAAGTGGTTGCATATTGCTTCATTACTTTCCCCACGTCTTTTTTTCTTTTTAATTATGGTAAAATGTACCTAACATAAAATTTACCATCTTAACCATTTTTAAGTGTACAGTTCAGTAGTGTTAAGGATTCATTACTGGCAAGAATTTCTCTTTAACTTCAGTGATTTTTTTTCACTCGTTGGTCAGTTGCCTCCCTCTCAGCACTGGTTGGACTTTCATTGAACCTGAGTGTTTGTACTTGAAGTATTCACTTGTGAGTAATCTCAGTCTTGCTTCTTCTAACAAATTTTTGTTAAATCCTTTGTCCACTTGGAAGGTTAGGAAAATTAAATCCAGATTGCATAATCTGTAAATCCATCCATCCGGGCATATGTAAACTACATAGAATACTAAAACACAAACATCACAGAGCTGAAAGGAAAAAACACAATACTCCTCCAAATATGAAGCTTCCTTTTGCCCTTCCCCAGATAACTCCCCTGCCTTACTACATAACCCAGGATGTCTGACAAGAGAGGCCCAGGGCAGGCACCAATGTCAATTTGCTTATGAATGATTAGCAAAGCTTACTTGTTTTTATTCTTTTAGATAAAAAATTAATTTAGGGGCGCCTGGGTGGTTCAGTTGTTAAGCATCTGCCTTTGGCTCTGGTCATGGTCCCAGGGTCCTGGGATCGAGCCCTGCATCGGGCTCCCTGCTCAGCAGGAAGTCTGCTTCTCCCTCTCCCACTCCCCCTGCTGTGTTCCCTCTCTCGCTGTCTCTGTCTGTCAAATAAATAAATAAAATCTTTTTTAAAAAAAATAAATAAAATAAAAAGCTGTAAAATTCAGCTAAAGTAACTAGAGGGAAATTGTATGACCTTAAATGAATACGCATGGTCTACAAACTTACCCAGCCGGATGCCCCTTCCCTTGTATTTCTGCCTTAAATATTTTTTTCTGCCTTAAATATTTTGAGGTTCTGTTGTTAGATTCATATGAATACTAGGTTACTTAGTTCCTGGTGAATTATTTCTCATCAAGCAATGACACCTATATCCCTAATAATTCTTTACCTCTTAAAATCAATTTTGTCAGATTTTAATATTGCTGTACCGGGTTTCCTTGTCCATGTCAACGTACACTGAGAGGCAGCACAGAGCAGTGTTAAGAGCATGGCATCTGAAGTCAGACTGCCTGGGTTCACATTCCAGCACTAACACTTTTTGGTTGTGTGACTTCAAGTCAGTTATAAACTTCAGTCTCCCCATGTACAAAATGGGCGTAGTTAACTACCCACCTCGGAGGGGTTTTATGAGGATTAAAGTAATCACTATTTTTAAAGCATTTTGAGGGGCGCCTGGGTGGCTCAGTTGGTTAAGCGTCTGCCTTCAGCTCAGGTCATGATTCCGGAGTGATCCTGGACAGCCCCAGGATCGAGCCCCATGTCAGGCTCCCAGCTCAGCAGGGAATCTGCTTTTTCCTCTCCCTCTGCTCCTCCCCGATTGCGTTCACTCTCTCTCTTGCTCACTCTACTCTCTTTAAAATCTTTTTTAAAGCGCTTTTTAGCGCTTTGAATATCATAAATAAGCACTACATAGGATTTATAAAGTAAAGTAATTAGATATATATATCTGCATCCCTTTTCTGTGTCATTATTTTTTAAGTATTTCTCTGGTTCAACACCATATAGCTGGTAGATACTGCAATGCTGCAGTAGATATTATATAAATCCTAGCACATATGTGTGAGTGTATCTGTAGAGTAACTCCTAGAAATGAGATTGCTGGGTGGAAAGATATGTACATTTGTAATTTTGCTAGATAGCGCCAAATTGCCTTACATAGGGGGCTGGTACAACCCCGATGTAGGGCAATTTGGCGCTATCTAGCAAAATTGATCTTCGCCAGAGCATTAAATGAAAAGCGACATTTCAGAGCAGATTTAATTTGCATTTCTCTTATTTTAAGTGAGGTTGAGTATACTTGAATGTTCTTTGTATTTCTTTTCCATCAATATTCTCTTACCCATTTTCAACTGGGTTGTTCTTTTCTGTATTATTTGTACAAGTTTTTTTTTTTTTTTAAGATTTTATTTATTTATTTCAGAGAGAGAGACAGCGAGAGAAGGAACACAAGCAGGGGGAGTGGGAGAGGGAGAAGCAGGCTTCCTGCAGAGCAGGGAGCCCGATGCGGGGCTTGATCCCAGGACCCTGGGATCATGACCCGAGCCGAAGGCAGATGCTTAACGACCGAGCCACCCAGGTGCCCCATTGTACAAATTTTTTTTTTTTTTAGATATTGGAAAATCCGTCCTTGTTCTATGGTATGAGCTGAAGCTGATTTTTTTTTTTTTTAATTCTAAGCACTTCCCCTCAGGAATGGAGAAAAATGGTGAGAAAGAAAATTTTGAATACTATCTCAAAACATTTTCTGCCAAGTAGTAAAAGCTACTTTTTCTGGTCACTGACTTTGTGCTAAACACATGTGCTAAACACATGTTTATACCTCACTTTCTGGTAGATAATATTATCTTCATTTTACAAATGAAAAAACTGAAGATCAGAGAGATTCCGTCATTTGCTCATTTAACAAATATTTAGTAGGCACCCACTGGGTTCTTTACTTTGGGGATATATTAGTAAGTGAAACAGAAAAGGTCCTTTTTATGGGCTTGCATTCTTGCTGGGGAAACATAGACAACAAAGCAGTATACAAACAAGATAATTTCTGATAGTGGTAAATGCTATGAGGAAAATAGGAAATAGGGTAGCTGCTGTTAGGTTGGGTGGTCTCCAAAGTCCTATCTGAAAATATGAGATTTGATCTGATGCCTAAAAGGAAAGAGAAGAGCTGGGAAATGGAACTGTTGGTATAAGGGCCCTAAGGCAATAACAAGTTGGGCTCATTCAAGACACAGGGAAGTTTGGTCGGAGGAGCTAGCAGGGAAAGCCACTGGGTGGTTTTGAAAGGGAGGGTAATTTGATCCATAATGGGGGACCCCAAACAGCTTTTTTGTTGATATGTATATCAGTTGTCTATTGCTGTCTAACCCCAAAATGTAATGACTTACCACCAATTACTGATTTTCACTCGGTTTCTGTGGTACTGGAATTTGGGAGCAACTTGCTTGGGCTTTTCTGTCTCCGTATCTCTTGTGAGGTTGCTTTCTTCAGAAAGCTTGGCTAGGGCTGAACCATCTCCTTGCAAGATGGCTCAATCACATTAGTGGTTAAGTTGGTGCTGGCTGTTAGCAGGAAGACTCCATGCCTCTCCGTCTCCACAAGAGCCTCTCCACAGGCATACTTGAGAGTCCTCATGTCATGATTGCTGGCTTCTCCCACAGCAAGTGATCCAAGAAACAGCAATACAGATGTTGAAATGTTTTATAACCCAGCCTCAGAAATGGCGCATTGTTCTTTCCCCAATATTCTATTGGTACATAGCTCTATTTGATGTGGTCGTGACTGCCAGGAGATGTATGCCCTTGCAGGCCATCTTGGGAGACTGGCTACCACAATGTTTCAGCGGCTGATTTTAGGCAACAGGCTTGAACAGTGGAAACCTGGGTAAGGTAGAAGGGCCCACAGTGACCCCAACCCCCTGGCTAATATAGACAGGCGCAGGGGACCCACCTCAAACTATCCATAGGCCCTAACTAACCGATGGGCTACTTACAACCGGGCACAGGTACCGAAAAATGGAAAACTCCGTATGTTCCCATACCTGCTCACCTTCCCTCTTGAAAAACAGCCCCCACCCATAGCAGGCCGTCTCTCCTTTGTGGCCTGTCCGCTGCTCACTTGGGGTGTATTCGATAAATTTCTATCTCCTTTGTTCTGCCTCACATGAATGTTGTCACTGCCCGCACCACTGGCTTCCACCTGATTGAGTCACCCCACATTTGGGGACCCCCATCCAATAGGGACAGACACCACAAATGTAGGTTTTTTTAAATTTAAGTTTATAAATGTAAAAGTATTTTATATATTTGTATATATATTTAGAAAATAAAATATGTGATATTTACATTAGAAATTAAAGCTTAAAAATATTGTTCATAGGGGCACCTGGGTGGTTCAGTCAGTTGGGCATCCAACTCCTGGTTTCAGCACAGGTCATGATCTCAGGGTCCTGAGACTGAGCCCCAAATCCAGATCCATGCTCCCCAGGGAGTCTACCTAAAGATTCTACCCCTCTGCCCGCCCCCAACCACGTGCGCGCATTCATGTGTGCAACTGCTTGCACTCTCTCTCAAATGAATAAATAAATCTTTTTTAAAAAATGTATATTGTTGGGACGCCTGGGTGGCTCAGTCAGTTAAGCATCTGACTCTTGGTTTCAGCTCAGGTCATGATTTCAGGGTCTTGGGATTGAGCCCTGAATCTGGCTCCCTGCTCAGCAGGGAGTCTGCTTGCCTCACTCTCCCTCTGCCTGCCCCCTCCTGGGCTCTCTCTCTCTCAAATGAATAAATAAAAATTTTTGTCTTGAGCAACTGAGTGGATTGTATGACATGTACTGAGATGGAGAATAGGTGGGTTTTTTGAGGGGTGGGTGAGTGAAACAAATGTGCTGTTTTGAACATATTAAGCCTGAGGTGCCCGTTAGACATCCAAATAGAAATGTTCAGTAGCCACTTGAGTATATAAGTCTGGAGATCAAGGGAGAGGTCAGAGCTTGAGATAGAAATTCTGCAGGCATTAACATAGAGCTATAGTAAAGCCAAGGAGCTGAATGAGATCTCCTAGGGAGAAAGTGTTAATATGGAAGAGAAGAGGGCTAAGGGCTAAAAGCCTCGGCATGCTGCAACATTTATGGGTGAAACAATGGCTTTGGATCCAGCAAAGGAGATTGAGGAACCATTGAGGGAAGGTGAAAACTGGTAGAAATAGAAGCAGAATGAAGAAATTGGCTCAAGAAGTAGGGAATAGTCTGTTGCAATGTTCTAGAAGTCAGATAGGATGAGTATAGCAAAATGACCCTAGGATTGGGAAGTTAGAGCTGACCTGGACAGGTCCAGTTTTAGTGGAGAGGTGAGGATCAAAGGCTGATTACATGAGTTGGGGAAAAGATGGGAAGTGAAGAATGGAGCACCTCTTTTGAGAAATTTTTTTGTTGGGTGGGTAACAAAGATGTGAAGATGAAATAATGTGTACGTGAATTTTTCTTTTTCTTTTTCTTTTTTGTAAATTGTCAATGCTCTATAAGTGATAGGCTTGTTTTGTTATTTATTATCTAACTCCCAGGAATTTCCAACCTGCTCAGTGTGAAGAATCACTAAGACTAGGCTACCACTAGTCCCCAACTTCCCGTCTATTAAGGCGCAGGGTATCTCCACCCAATGACAAGCCAAGAAATGAAGAGACGGATGGAGAAAGCGGAAATAAAAAGGAAGGGGTAAAGAAAGATTTGCTGAGTTAACATTGACCTCGCAGGGCCACCGTAGGGCAGACCCTCACAGCTATTACGCTCTTTTAGGGGGCGGAGCCGACAGGAAATTTAAACCGAAGCCGCGGCCGAGGGCGCCTGGAGACTGATAATGTACTCGTGGAGTTTCCGTCGGCGCTCGGACGTCTGAAATCGCTCATGGAGCCCGCGAATATAACGCGGAGGCCTTGAGGAAGGAGTACGGAGGCCGAGAAGGACCCGAGAACTTGAGGAGGGAGCCAGGCAAGGGTACGGATGCCGGGAAGGGGAAGATGGGGTAAGAAGGTAGGCGGAAGGGGTCGTGAGAGTGTAGAGAGGCTAAGGGCTGGGGAAGGTGCACAAGAATTGGGGAGCAGATAGGTGCAGAAGCTGAGGAGGGTCGAGGGGCCGGGAAGGGCTCCCAGGAATTGAGGAGGCCGAGGTCTCAAGGGGGTGGAGGGACTTTAGGGGACAAGAACCTGGAGGGAGGCACGGGAATTGAAATGTACAAGGGTGGCCAAGAAGCCGTGGAAGTTGAGGGCGCAGAGTCCTCGTGGGGGCTGTGGGACTGAGGGACAAGAACCCTGAAGGAGGCGCGGGAGGTGAGATGGGATGTGCATTGGGATGGAGTTGAGGCTGTCTGTACCCGGGAGCCGCGCGGGGGATTGTGCGGGAATTGGGAGGCGGGGGGGAGGGGATGATAGAAGGTCGAAGGCTAATGAAGGTGGTTCTGCTGTTTTGTCCTTTCTCAGGCGACGGCAGATTCTCTGAGCTGCAGAGTTCTATGGCGGAGGGTAGGCTCCGGGCTCCGGACCTAGGTAGGTAACAGGTCAGAACTAGGGATGCGAGGTCGAAGTTGCTACTGCTGCACCAGAGTCACTTGGGATGGAAAGGTCGAGAAATGTTAGCGCTATTGGGGTTTTCTAATTTCTTAGTGGTTTTGAGTGTGTGTATATGGTGGGATGTCATGAAATCATTTAGGAATTCATGTTAAATGTCAAATAAGAGCTTTCAGTCTGATATTATGAACAAGATTAGCAGATGGGGAGTCAGGATAGAGTACCTTATTAAGCCCACATTCATGGTTATTTTTACCATAAACTCACCGAAATAGATAAGTATTTCAGCACATGCTCACTTCCCTCAATATTCCCCCTCCCACTTGTTCTTCTTCTTTTTTAAAGATTTTATTCATTTATTTGACAGAGAGAGATATAGAGAAAGGGAACACAAGCAGGGGGAGTGGGAGAGGGAGAAGCAGGCTTCCCACTGAGCAGGGAGCCCGATGTGGGGCTCGATCCCAGGACCTTGGGATCATGACCTGAGCCAAGGCAGACGCCTAATGACTGAGCCACCCAGGCGCCCCTCTCCCCCTCCCACTTCTTTCAGTATCTTCTAGTTTTAGTTTTGGATTGTTACAGATAACAGGCTTTGGTTGTTGCTTTTGAACCGGTAATACACTTTACTAAGTTACCTACTCTTCCTTTGCTGGAGAACTTTTCTCCAAGAGTGTTTTCAAAAGGAGGCTTTATGGGATAAACTTTCTGAGGCTTGTATGCCTGAGAATATCTTGATTTCACCGTTGTGTCAAAATTCTTGAGTCAAAGTTCTTTTCCTTCAGCACAGTGAAAAATGGTATTTTCTTCCTGCAAAAAGTAGAGCCTGTCGATATTGATGTTGGTCTGATTCTTGTTCCTTTGTAAGTGACCTCCTTTTTTCATTAGAACATTTTAGATGATTCTCTTTATATTTGTTCTTTTTTTTTAATAATTTTTTATTGTTATGTTAACCACCATACATTACATCATTAGTTTTTGATGCAGTGTTCCATGATTCATTGTTTGTGCATAACACCCAGTGCTCCACGCAGAATGTGCCCTCTTTAATACCCATCACCAGGCTAACCCATCCCCCCAACCCCCTCCCCTCTAGAACCCTCAGTTTGTTTTTCAGAGTCCATCTTTATATTTGTTCTTAAAATTCACTGTAGTATGACTATGTGAATTTTAGAGGGTTTAATTTATTTATTACAGTTTTACGGTTACATAATTTTAAAAGGCCAGGTCTCCCCTGGCCTCTCTCTCTCTCACACACCTAGAGTTGGAGTTGTTCCTCCTGATTGCCACTCCAGAGGGTGCCACTGTTTACAGTTGTTTTCACTATTTCTTCTAGTATTTACCTACTTATTTCTAAATAGCATGCTCATACTGCTTTTGTTGTTTTCAACTTAAATTATATCTATTGACTTCCTAGCATGGAAAATATTTTTTCTGTCTCCCCACTTACCTGCAGCACACACACACACATACACACACACACACAATTTTCCTCCTCTTCTCTCCTCCCAGTGTATATGAAGTTTTGGTTTGTTTTTTTAAGTAGGCTCTACGCCCAGAGTAGAGCCCAACATGGGCCCAAACTCATGACCCTCAGATAGACCTGGGCTGAGATCAACCCACAGAGCCACCCCAGCACCCCTATACTTAGTCATTTTTGATTGGTCATTTATTTATTTGCATTATCATTATTATGGTTATTTACAGATGACCCATGTAGCAAAGTAGGAAATATGCTTCATTTTCTATGAAAGATCACCAGTTCATGTCCACATTCTACCAGAATTATAAACCTTCCCTCAATACCTTCAAGCTCATCAAAGAATCCATCAGTTTCTTCTTTGTCTGGAAGACATACCTTCTGAAACCATTTGTCCTAGTCTTCAGTCTGGTCCAGCTATGTGTAGGCTTGTTGCACTGATTTCATCCTAGAATCTCCCTTCATCATTCTATGGATTTCCCTTTGCTTTTTTCCTGGGTAGGATCCCCTACATTCCAAATTCCTATTTTCTTCTCTCTTCATTTACTTCCTCATTTTGGTAGAGCACATCTTCTTATATAGCTTCCTGAGAAAGGGTACATGACAGATAAATTTTTCAAGACCTCCAGGTCTGATAATTCTTTACTTTTTTTTTTTAGATTTTATTTATTTATTTGAGAGAGGGAGAGCATGAGTGGTGGAGGGGGGGCAGGGGCAGAGGGAGAAGAAGCAGGCTCCCCGCTGACCAGGGAGCCTGATGTGTGGCTCGATCCCAGGACCCTGAGATCCATGACCTGAGCTGAAGGCAAACACTTAACCCACTGAGCCCCCCAGGCGCCCTGACAATTCTTTATTCTACCTTACATTTGAATGATAGTTTAGCTAAAGATCATTTTTCCCCAGAATTTTGAAGACATATTCCACTTTTTTTATTTTAAGTGTACAAATCGTTTTGTTTTAATTTTTAATTCCAGTATAATTAACATCCAGTGTTATATTAGTTTCAAATGTACAATATAGTGTACAATATAGTGATTCAACCACTTTCCACTTCTTGTAGCTTCCAGTATACTATGGCAAAGTCTGATGCTGTAAATATTTCTACCTTCCTCCTGAACACAATAAGCACCTAGACTGGCCTGTCTCTGAACCACCCCTGCCCCCATCTAGCAACAATATGATTATTGTCTGTCTTTTTTTTTTTTACTTCCAAATTAGTCATTGTTATTGTTGTTTTATACAGTCAGTGATTGTTTAGATTTATACATATTTTTGCCAAATTTTTGGCATTTCAGTCCTTCTGGGTCTAGCTTCCTTCATCCCAAAGTACACCTCTGCAAAGTCCTTTAGTAGGAAGTGGTTGGGGATAAATGGGTTTTCTTTGTTTGAAAAATGCCTTCAGTGTTCTTTGTTGAAAAATGGGTGGCTTAGTCGGTTAAGCATTAGATTCTTGACTCTTGGTTTCAGCTGAGGTCATGATTTCATGATTGTGGGATTGAGCCCAGTGTCTGGCTCCATGCTGGGTATGGAGCCTGCTTAGGATTCACTCCCTCTCCCTCGATCCCTCCCCTGCCCTCAAAAAAAAAAAAAGAAAAGAAAGAAAGATGCCTTTATTTTGCCCTTGCTCTTGAATAATTGTTCAGTCAGATATAAAATTCTAAGTTGACATTTATTTTATTTATTTTTTTTTTTTAAAAACTTTTTATTTATTTATTCATGAGAGACAGAGAGAGAGAGAGAGAGGCAGAGGGAGAAGCAGGCTCCCAAGGAGCAGGGAGCCTGATGTGGGACTCGATCCCAGGAACCTAGAATCATGACCTGAGCGGAAGGCAGACGCTTAACCATCTGAGCCACCCAGGCACCCGACATTTATTTTAAATACTGATTTTAGTGAAATAAAGCATTTAATAATTTAAGTAATTATTTTGTAGTCTATATCTGATCATTCTATTTGAAGTTCCTGGGGATCTAATTTTGCTGTCTCTTATTTCTAATGATTCTGACCCACAGTGGTTTGTTTCCTTCATGTGTTTTATAATGTCAGAGGGTGAGTTAATGTTTGATGATGCTTTATCTGAGGAAATTCTTGGAACCCTGAGCTAAGCTGTCAACCTCTAGAATTGCTTTGCATTTGGTTATTTAAAGTATGCCAAAGATGTTATGAGCTGGAATTATTTTTTACTTTAATTTCTCTGATGGTGGTGGTAATGGGTTCTTAGACCACATAAGTAATGTGAATTTGAATTCCAAATTCTTGGGAGGCCTATGGTTATGAGTTCTCAGAGAAGACTTTTGTCATGCAGAGCCCAGGCTAATATAGACAGTATTCCCCTTTTGTCTCCTTTAGTGGGTAGATTATTTTCTGATTTACATTTTCTCCTAGATTCATGCAGGATTTCTCAATTCTAACTCCCCCCTTTAGGCAGGTACAAAACCTTATCTCCTGGGCCCATCTGACTCATCAATCCCAAACCCTTTTCTTTTAAGCCCACAGACTCCCTCAGGGCAGTCAGCATTAGCTTTCACCACTGTGGTTCTCAGTTTTCTCATCATTCAGGACATTTGTGGAGTCCTCTTATTTATTTATTTTGTGAACTTAGCAGTTAGATGGGTTTTGTGTTTATATTTTGGCCAGTATTTTTAGATATTTTGTATTAGGAAGGCTTTTAAATTACTGGTCTCCAATATGGCCTGAAATGAAGCCAAAATCCTCTTTCTCCTTAATGTCCTGAAATTTCTTTCTTTTTTTTTTTTTTTCAAATTTTATTTATTTATTCATGAGAGACGGGGGCGGGG